TCAGAGGAAAGGACAGGTTGCTTGGAATAGCAATAGCATCATCGATACTCTCTGTGTATATTGCAATGGAATCTATTGCCAGGCCTTTTAAAAGAATGTCTCTCAATATATTTAATGTGTGTCTCCTTTCATTTTCAGCTCTTGCTTATGGGTTTAGCCTGTACTTCATGAAAAGCAATCATGAGGATGGATTAATCATCGTTATTGCTATTTTTAATGCTATTATTATTACATCTATCCTTGGTATTATTATCATACACTTTTTGTGGGTAGCTGGCCTATTGGAAAGGATAAAGATCAAGTTTAGAAAGCATTGGTTTCATTGTCTACTACGACAGCAGAATCAAAAAGGGGCTCATGTTAATATGAGTGGATCATTCTTTGAACCTTACGATAGAGTGAGAGAACCACTCCTCTCCTCAGCTTGCGATAAATATTATTAACTGACAATCATTAATTTTGTGTGCTGTGTGAATTATTGTAATTTTTGCTGCATGTACATGCAACTGTATATACTTAGTTGGAAACTTCTTCATAGCAATTAAAGTGTTTTTTATTTTTTCTTATAATAATTTTTGCTAATAAAGCATCTAGAGTTACTGCTGTTATACCAAAACACCACAGTCAGTGAGTAACAACGATTGATTCATACTTACAAAAGTGACTTAAGAGAGTACCATGTCCTTCAGTTAACTATGAATAGTGTAATTAATTTCTGTAATTTTTCGTTGAACTTTTATACACATGTATTAAGTTACTGTAGACGATTACTCCACCCTGTGATTGTAGAACACACAATGTTTTCACAATAGTTTAATAGGAAAGAATTATGTAATGGATATGCATGTTCTTATGTTGTGTAGAAAATTTGAGCTGATTCTGGATTTATAAACTACTTAAGTTGCTCAAAAATCAGACACTGTACTGACTTTATTTTACTCTTAGACAAGATTTAGAGCCACACTAGTGGTACCAATGGAGTCCTCTAGTTAAGATAAGGTTCTCCAACAAGTCTGGCAATTAGCATAGGAGTTTGTTTTCCCAGTATAGCAAGGCTGCAAATTTTGTGGCAGCCATTTTAAATTGGGGTGACTTCTATCTACCGGTAAGTATGGCTACTGCATTAGATATTATATTACAAACATACACACATGCTCTCTCTCACATTACCTGTGTAGTATATTGTTTTTATGTACAAAATTAAGAGCGTCCACCATTTGAGAAAACTTTGTTAATACCTCAAGTTCTGATATTAGACTTAGCTGCTGTTTTAAGTAATGCTGCAATGAACTACAAGAATAGATCAAGAAACTAAATGTAATTAATAGCTAGTGTATTATTACTAATATACATAAAAGTTATTGTTTACTGTCAGCAAACTTTGGCCAAAACCCTGTACAAAAATTTTGGCCTGATTTTTAGTAACTTTAAAAATTCGTAATAAAATAAAATCTAATTTTGAGATGCCCCATAAAAAATACATTTACTGAACTGCAATAATGCTCTTACCCTCCATCGGCAAACTCCATTTCAATCATCATCAGTCCATCTTCTTCAAAGTTGTCGTAGTAACTGATAATGTGTGGGTGGTCCAGCATGGCCAGTATCTTTATCTCTGTAACTACGTTTTGTCTCTCGATCTTATTCAGTTCTAAGATGTTAATTTGCTTCAGTATCACTAGTGACTCATCCTCTTTTCTCTTGTATAATATTGCTTGACCATAAGCCCCTAATGAAGTAAATAATAATAAAAAATACTTGAGTTCTTTTTTCCTCCCTTTCCTACATATCCTCTATCTCCCCTACCCTCCTTTTTTTCCTATCATGTACAATGTCCTCCTACTATAGCAACTTCTTCCTTCTTCCCACCCTCTCTCTCCCTCTCTCTGTCACCTTTTCCAACTGTTTTTATTCTTTCATATTTCTCTAGTTTCATTAGAGTTGGGGCATTCCATTCCTTTAGCTTCTGTCCATCAAAGAACAGTGTGCCAATCTTCTCTCCGCCATCAACAGGACTGCCCCATATATCCTATGGCAAGAATGAAATCATACACTACATTGAATACTGAGATACATTCACATGTTGCAGAATTTATAAAAACCACTAAATATTATAATGTACCTAGTTTTACAGTATAAACAGAAACTTTGTACAGTTTTGTGCCCACATTAAAAAAGCCCGCACAGAATTGTAGCATTAATTTTAACAAAAATCCTTAACTACACTGTCTATATACAACATTATTACACACAATATAAAAAATGATGCATTATTATTATTATTATTATTATAAAAATAAAAATAACGAACATGTACAAAAACAATAACTAGAAGAAAAGAATAGGGGAAAGAGGGAGATCCCAGAGGAGACAACAGAAAAACAAAAGGGAAACATGAAAAAATAAGAAAAAAAAACTAGCTAAGAAAACAAACAAAAGAAAACAAAGTTAAATCTGGCCATCCAAGACAGAAGGAAGGGGAGGGAAGCGGCTAAGCCACA